ATTTTTTCCCATTTATTCCCAGATTTTTTCCCATTTTTTCCCCTTATTTTTCCCATTTATTCCCATATTTTTTTCTCATTTTTTCCCAGATTTTTTCTCATTTATTTCCAAATTTTTCCCCATTAACCACATAAAATAATGAAATCTGAGTTCCCAACTGAGGGAAATTCCTTTCAACCATTCCCTGAAGATGTTGCTCCTGGCTATGAAAACAGCCAGGCCAGCTCAGCACTGCTGCACTGCCCATCCACCCCAGAGCTAATTAGTGCTAATTGGAGCTGCCTTTCTGTTCCAGATGCCAAGAAAACGTGGTTCAGGTGCAGCTGCTGGACGAGCCTCGATCTGTGCTGCCTCTCCTGCTGCTCCCTGCAGTGTTTGGGTGCCACTGACAGACTCTGGGCACCAGAGTTAATGAATTAGCACAAGATGAAGAGAATTAATTAGCTCCATCTGAAGAGAACATCCATGGCATCTACCTCCCTGCTCAGCTCTCGGAGCAGCAGCACCTCGGGATGTGCTGGGATTCTTCTCTCACCGTCACCTGGCTTTGTTCCAGAAGGAAACCAGCCCCAGAAGTGAACTGTAGAGACTAAATGCTGTGAAAAAGATGACACTTTACCTCTAGAGTAAAAGCTAGAAGTGCTGTGTGTCCCCTGTCTGTTGGAATCCGTGCAGTGCTGGTGTCACTCGGGGTGGTGCCACCCTGTCCCCTCCCAGCTGGCTGTCTGCTCTCTGTGCACCTGTACAGCAAAACAAATGCAACATCTCCAGTGCCAGGAGTGCCGCCTGCCTGACCCTCCAGTGCTGTAATAAAAAGGAAAACCTTTCCTAACTAAGTGCCTGTTTGCTGAGAAGATTTGGAGTTGTCCCTTGGGTTGAGGAAAAACCCCCAAGGAGTGGAATTTCTTGGGAGCTCATTGTGACAAGCAGGCAAGTGTGCTGTGGGTGATCTGGGCCTGGCAGGATCCCCCAGCAGGAATTTGGAAGGTCCAGCAGGCACTTGAGAGACTTTTGGACAAGGGAGGGGACACACTGCATCTGTGTTTTACTTTCTTTGTGGGTGGAACCGTTTATATTCTGTATTGTTTTCCTGCAGCATTCAGATCTCTTCTAAGTTGGACCAAACCTGTCAGCTGTTCATTTTTTAACATGAACTGCCAACGTTTCTGGGCAGCTTCTCACTAATTAATCTGGTAACTGGAGGTTGCTTTGGACAGCTGCTATTCAGCTCTCTCTGTAACTTGCAAATTGTTTTATTCTGAATTATTTTCTTACCACAGACTGTAAAGAGTCTCTTCAAAATGTCTCTAGGCTGTAAAATTGGAGTTTCTTTGTCAGGGGTGCAGGAAGGGGCTGCTCCATCCCTGGCAGTGCCCAAGGCCAGGTTGGAGCAGCCTGGGGCAGGGAATGGGATGGATTTAAGGTGGATGGGAGAGGTGTTTGGGATGAGATCTGAGGTCCTTCCCAACCCAAACCATCCTGGGGTTCTGTGCTGGAGGGGAGGAAGCTGAGAGCTGCCACAGGCACCTGGGCCAGCTTCTGATTGCAGCATCCTTGCAAAATGAGGAAGGAGATGAGCTCAGGGATGGCTCCTCAGGAGGTGGGGACAGACTGGGGAGTTCAGGGCTCGCTCTGAGCGAGGGAATTGTAATTGTGAACCCTTCCCTCTGAACTGAGGGAGCTTCAGAACAGAGCAGAGCACCCTGCCCTCCTTCCCTGTGCCCAGCTGTGCTCACCCTGTCCCTGGGCTGGGCTGGTTCTGCCCCGAATCCGGCTCTGAGGAGGAGGAGGAGGAGGAGGAGGAAGGAGCCCTCAGCCAACAGAGGGAGCATTTGGAGCATTTGGTCAGTGCCAGGCCAGCAGAGCAGATGCAGAGGCTCAGTTTCAGGTTGTTGGTGTCAGTCACACATCTTAATTTGGAGTGCTCAGTTTCAAATGGGCATTGGAGAGCAGTAAACAGAGAGAGAAGAATTTTCTCCTTTTAATGTTGCTTCCTTCACTACTTACAGTCTTAATTCTCTTCTTGGAATGAAGAGGATCAATCTGCATCACATTTGCTTTATCTGTGATAATCCTTATAAATACTTTTTTCAATTTATTTTAACTTTGACTGATGTGACTGTTAAGAATTAAATCCACAAAAAATTGAACATAAAATATTATTTTCCAGCAACACACACACACAATGGTGGGCAAATTGTGGAGACCACTGGCTCAAATTCATTTTATTTGATGTTGCCCAGAGCAGCTGTGGCTGCCCCATCCCTGGAAGTGTCCAAGGCCAGCATGGAGCAGCCTGGGACAGTGAAGGTGTCCCTGCCCATGGGATGAGCTTTAAAGCCCCTTCCACCCCAAACCATTCCATGAGTGCAGAGGTTAAACCTGGCAGAGCTGCCACCCTGCACAGCCAGGGCTGGGAAAGCTTTGTCAGGAAGATTTTCTGTGAAAACCTCAGTGGGGCTGCTGCTGGGGAGCTGTGGGGCAGCCAGTTAATAAAAACACCCCTGGGAAAGGAGGAAAAGCTTTTGGGGTGCACAGAGAACCAGCAGGAAGGGCAGTGTGGGGTTTGTGAGGTCACTGAATGGTGACATTCTGCCACTGATTTCTTGGGAAATGCAGGAATTTGCTCAGCTGCTCGTGGCCATGGGAAGCCTCTGGTATTTGATTTTTTTGAAGGATGTGTGCTCAACCTGGAGAATTATTTGCATCATAGCAATGCCCCACACTGCTCAGCATGCTCTGGCATTAAAATGTACCAGCTGTAGCTGGGAATTCTCAGCAATGTGTGGGAACTGACTGGAAAATGCATCTGCTGCTCTTTGCTGTTCCCTTTCTCTTGGGCTCCATAAAAGGGAAAAAGCCCTGCTGAGGGTAGGTCTGTATTCGTGTCATCTTTGGAACCTTTAGAATGGTTTTTAGGAATTTTTTTCCGTTTTTTGGGTGCTGACCTGCATAGGTGATACTCCCAAATCCAGCAGAAAATACAAAATCAGGGTGTAGTACTATCAGGAGTGAACTGAATGGTTGTGATTTGTTTCCAGCTGCCTCAGAGAAACCTGGGTTTGGTGGCAGCCAAGAACTGGAAGGACAAACCCTGTGAACTTTGGGGGAAATTATTTAGAAGATAAGCACAGAATGTTTTGCACAAGCCTGGTCCCTGGAAAAGGTGGTTTAGTAGATTTGGTCCAAATATTGTTATTTACAACAGCACAACTCTGCACTAGTGCCAAGCTGATTTCACTGCCTTGACTAGGCACAACGGACATGAACAACTTTTGAGGTAAAATATCAAAAATATTAAAATGTTAAAAAAGGGTAAAGCTGTTTTTCAGAAGTTCCAAGTGCCAATGACTGGAACAAATGTTTGTGTTGTGTGGCTGAGCTCAGTCAGTGCATCCTGGGGTTGTTTCTCTGTGTCCTCACTCTGTGCTCTTGCTCAAACAACTGCTCAGATTCTGTCCCTGTCCCTTTAACCAGGATTTTAAGCAGGATCTTGAAGCTGCCATCACTTTTAGTGCAGCTCAGCCTTAGAATTGGATTTCAAGCAGCCTCAGGCCTGTGGAGGATCACATTCTGTCAAAAACCCCAAACCTTGAGTGTGTGCCTGTGGTAACCCTCAGGATGTTTGGGAATGTTGGGATCTGGACTTTTAACCCAAGGGCTAATTTGTTGTTACTTTGTTTAATTATTTGCTTTCAATAATGCATCTCTTTTTGGTTTGGATTGAAGTAAATTATTTTGCTTCTTAAATAACTTTTTTAAAAGAATAAACTTTGAATTCTTTGGTTGTTTTCTTTGGGTTCTGGGTGCAGGATCCAAGAGTTACAGGAGGTTTATCTGCTTTGTCTGTGGGGTGGGATTTGCTCCATTCTGTGCTGGGGCAGCCCCAGCTCTATCACAGATGTGCCCTGAGCATCAATGAGCAGTGAGAGGGACATTGATTCTGCCACAGGCTTGGTCCTGTCCAGTTTTAATCTTGCTGCTGCTGAATCTCTGTTTGCAGTGGGGTCCCTCATGCTGATTTACATAAAAAATATATAAATCAATTATTTACTTGATACTCCAATAGCAAACCAGCTACTAAATTATTGCTGTGCCCAAATCATGCTCTGTTAGCCTTTTGAATTGCTTGATTCAGTCTTCTAAAATACTTCTGTGGTGGTTTGACCAGGAAGAAGTGTGCCAGGCTCAAACCATGACAACTTCCCTGTTGTCTTCCCTCTGCAGGAAGGCAAATTTTGTTAGAGTCCACAGTCAATAAATGTGCTCCAAGGGTTATTTCTCCTCAGACCTCGTGTCAGGCATCTGGAACCTGGAGTCCAACGTGGGTTTTATGCCAGGAATTTAAAACCAGACCCCCAGGAGCAGGGACACAGTTCCTGCCGTGCAGGTCCTGCCTGTGCCCAGAGCATTCCCACCCTGGCCTGGGGTGGGTGCTGAGAACCCCAGAGTTCCTGGGTTCTGGAAAGGTTTCCCTGCCATGGGTTTGTTCCTACAAAGGAGCTCCCTGCAGAGGAACTGGTTTTGGTTGTGCCCTGGGGGCTGTGCAGGGGATGACAGAGCAAGGTGCTGTCACCTGTGGCATTCACATCCTCTGGAAAAATCCCCTTGCCCAGGATTTTGCTCCTGGGAAGCTGAGAAGCCTCAGAGAAAAAGGAAAACAATAATTATCTCATCTGCTTCTCCTGTGTTTTGCTCCTTTGGAATGTGTTTGGAGATTGTTTACCCACAGGTGATTGTGTCATTGGATTCTGGTGTGAATTATTTTAACTCTTTGGCCAGTTGGGACCAAGCTCTGTCAAGACTCTGGAAAGAGTCAGGAGTTTTCATTATTATCTTTTTAGCCTTCTGTAAATATCCTCTCTGTATTCTTTAGTATAGTTTAGTATAGTATTCTTTAATATAATATAGTATCATAAAATAATAAATTAGCCTTCTGAGAACATGGAGTCAGATTCATCATTCCTCCCTGCCACAGGGCACCCCACAAATACAATTGTCACCAAAGGGGTGCTGGGGACAAAGGTGATACAGAGATTCCATCATCAGAAGGCAAGAAAAGCCCTTTTATTATTAGAAATCCACAGTTCTTACAGAAACAATGGTGGCTCTCAGACCTGATTGGCCTTCAGGAATCTTCTCTCACCTATTGGTCAAGAAGGGACAACTCCTCCTTGTAAACATCTTTGACAAACAGAGGTTGCCTGCCAGGTGCAGGGATTGAGATAAGAATTGTTTTAATTCTTTCTGTGAATTGTTTTAATTCTTTCTCTGAATTGTTTTATTCTTTCTCTGAGCTTTCTCCCAGCTCCCCAGGAAGATCCTGGGCCAGCTCTGTCTCTGTGCTCAGAGGATTTGTGATCACCACAAGGCAGGGACAGGAGAATCTGCTGAGGGTTGATCAAAGCCCCAGCACAGCCAGGATGCCCTGGTGGGATGCTCCTTATCCTCCTGCTCAGACTCCTCCTCTTCAGGAATTTAAACCATTTTCTAGCAAAGCTTCCCCCATGGTCTCTGTGGGTGCAAGCTGGAGGAGGATCCTGCTCAGAACCCAAATTTCTGCTCCAACATTCTCCTGGATGGAACCAGGGCAGCTCAGAGGATAAAGGGGGGTGTTCAGAGGCTCTCCAAAGCCTCTGGGTGTGAATCCAGCTGAAAAAGAGTGGGAAGAGAGGCTGTTGGTGTCAGTCCTTGAGCTTGCAAGGCCCTGGATCTAACTTTAGCACAGCATGCCCAGGCTTTACTCAGATTTCCACCATGAGCCCACCCAAGCTCAGCCTGTGATTAAAAAAGCTGAGGGATCAAAAGACCAAGATTCTCTTGACCTCTGGATCCTAAAGGTCATTTTTGGTTTCAGATGTGAATCCCAAGATCCCAAGGAGGGTTAAGGGCTGGTTTAGTCCTTGTGGGAGAGCAAACAAGAGGATTTTATGGGCATTGAATGAACAGTTAAACAATAATGTGGTGTGGAGAACCTCAAACCTGGGGATGGGTGAGAACCAGAAGAATTCAGAACCTGAAAATTTTATCAGCGTGAGAGGGAGACCAAAGCTGTGCCATCATCCCAGCTTTGCCCTGGTGCTGCACCTCTGCAGTTGAAGGGAGGGAAATTTATAATTTTGGGGAATAAGAGCAAAGACGGGGTAAAATTCCCTAAATTCTGGAGAATTTCCCAATTGTCACCCAGCTTGTTTTGAAGCTGTGCCCATCAAATAAAGGGAACATCTCTTGCAGAGAGATTCCGCATGCTGTGGAAATGATCTCAGCTGGAGGAGCTGCTCCAGGTCTCACCTCACTGGATTCCTGTGCTCCTAAGTTCAAAATCCATGGCTTTTTATTCCCAGCTCTGTATTTT